GACGCCTAGTCGGCCAGCTTCTGATTGTAGGAGGCGTTGCTGGTCCTTGTAGTAAGTAATGATGGCTATACCCGATGCAGCAATGCCCTTCGCCAATAACGCACAAACAAGATCTACGCAGCATCGAGCCTCCTCCTCGTTGGAGTGAGATTGGGACGCTGAGAGTCGAGACGAACCGCTGTCGTTGACGAGCACGAAGGGGATGCGCGGGTTGGGAAGATTAATACGCCTCACCAGAAGTGCGCGGTCCGAGGCCCGTGTTCGCTGACGAGCGTCCCATTATAGACGAGACGATTTGGGAGAGAGTTAAGAGAGGGGTGGGCTCCAAACGTGGTCACTAGTAGTGCGAGTGGAACCTCCCGTAGAATATCCATGACACCCCTTGCTCCAAGCCGTGCCTGCAGTGACGATGCGGGGCAGCGAAGATGAAGAGCCAATTGGTGTGCGTTATCTATGTAAATATGCCGAGCAGCTGGGAATCGTAAGATCATGGCAGCGGAGGCCGGCTCCGGGATCTGCGAAGCCTCGTCACCTATGATGATTTTGCAACTGGCGAGCAACTCGTGGAAAAGGCCGCCTGGACGCGTCGATTTGAGAAGCGACGACGTTGTGATACAAAGTATAGCGGGGAATCGCACCCGTATCATGAGTTCCACTGCGTATTCTGTGGCTTCCGAGTTCTCGTCCTCAGCGATCCTGAATTCTTCGCGTTCCTCATCGGTGAGATTTACTGTGTCGGCACTATTGAAAAGTAATCTTTCAATAAGTCGTCTGTGGGCATATGCTCTGAGACGTTCCTCGTCTCTCGGACCGAATGCGTTGGGAAAATTGGTCAGGAGACCTTGGAAGATGTTATGAAGGTCGACTGTTGTGACTGGTGCTCTTTCTCGTAGGGCGGTATCCGCGACGAATCGGACGACAGGCAAGTGTTGGTAGTCGGTTAGCTGAAGACGTGTGTCAGCGAATTGGGCTACCGCCACATTCGTGGAGGCGGTTGCGATGACCAATATTCCAGGTGTTGCTACGCGAGCAGCTATTACTGCACCTACGACAGTCTTTCCCGTGCCGTAAGCGACCTGTATTGCTAGGATCGGACGATGCTCACATCCACGTTGTACCGCGCGGGCCTGGTCGTCCCGAAAACGAAGTGTGGAAGAACGATAACGGATTGTCGTGACGGATGGGGGACGTGATGGTGCTGTGGGTTCCATAGATCGGCGTCGAGTGCTACCATAAGCCATGTTAAGTATATCATTATTCGTTATTCGCGTCGGCGCTTCCGCCGGTCCTTCACGAAACCCCGACTTTTGAGATGACTGTTCGATGGCATGATCAAGAAGCTGACGGGAGCATGAGAATGTCATCGAACGGCTACATGAGTTGTTAGAGTGTACAGGAGAGTGGTGAGGAGCATGCGCGGAGATGCTTCGTGAGATATGAGTGAAGCCGTCTGGCGGAGAGAGATCGAACCGTTTGGAAGAGTAAATAATCGAAGAAAGAGACTCCAAATTGCAGTTATATCGGCGAAAGAAGAATAGCGAGAAATAAGGAAATTGTAATAACGAAGAAAAGAGTAGAAGAAAAAAGTATTGAATAGAAAAAACGCTTAACAGCGATCTCGCTGCTATAAGAATTGACTCATATGCTAATGAAACTGCGTGCACGACGAAAATTTACTGAAACCCACGATTACTTGCCTGAAGCTATGAGGACTTTGTCCTTGCGCGCATATTCAATCATACGAAAGCGGTCTATCACTTAGTCTTACTTTGCAACAGTTCTGCTGATAACGCGAAACATTGAAATGACAAGCTAAACCTCACAGTTGTCCGGACCCTTATTATGAACTAGACGAGCACTGAGAGAATGAAAACGACCACCAATCCCAATTCTACTAAGTGTCGAATGGCTGACCGTAAGGTCGTCACCGAAGGTACAGCCATAAGCGCCATGTGCAAGGAAAGCTACCAGGAGACGAAAAATGCCTCAGGAAAGGAAGGAGAAGAGGAGATAAGGAATGCATGCCGGGGATATAGGAAAGATGCCTGGCCATAAAAGGACTATCCGTGGCCATCGTATCGCCGAGGCGAGGAAGAAAGAAAAGAAAAACGAAAACTCGTAATGAAAATGTGCGAAAGCCGAAGACTGACCTGACTCACTGAGTGCAATCGCACTCGCTGCTACCAGTAATAGGTTGGGCTCTCGCCCACCTCAGATGTACGGTAGTCACAGTGATATAAATATCATTTATCGAACAAGCAATAACAGAATAATAACAGGTGCCGGATAAATGAGGTGCCGAGCCTCTTCGGACCCTAGGCGAGAGGAGTCGAGGTCGTCGTCTTCGTCTTCAGCTCCATCGGGAAGCCCGGCCGGTCGTTGCGGATCTCGTTTCCTCCACTGCCTCCTACATTGCCTTTTGTATCTCCGCCGCATCGCTGCCTCCTGTAATCAGTTCTCATCATCGGCGTCGCGTTAAGCTTACTGTATGAGAACATCACCTACTGATCATCGTCATAAGCCCAGCTCACACACTTTGAACACTGTATTTATGGTCTCCTAGGACACGCCATCGCAGATCGAGTGCATCAAAAAATATCTTCGAAAAACTCGAAAGCATTCAATGTTTGGAACGGCTACTTTCCGATGGTTCAAAAAAGAGTAGTAGGCTGATGGAAAGACTTCCTTGTACCTTGGGAGCTCCACGTGCACGCTTCCGTGCAAAAGATAACCGTAGAAGAGACGGAAACAATAGCCTCGAAGACAGTATTCGCTTAGAATGTTATAAAGACAACCCGCGTGGCATACGAGAACAAATCTACAATCTAGAAGTAGGTAGTCAACAGCAACAGGTTCTCTGGCACTTTCAACTGACATTCCATCTCTCAGAATTCACCTGAACTTTGTACCGTGAAGATTTTGCGATACAGTGCCAGTTAGTGGCGGCCTTCATATCGACCCAACACCGTTTCCTATTTGGACAGCAGTTGCGGTTCATAGAGAACCTCTAGAAATACAGATTATCCACACTAAGCTTGGAATATTTCCAGCAATACAGTATCTTGAAAGAGCTGAGATCGATGTCATAGTTCAATAGATCAGCACCAGTACCCGACATACAATTGCTCTCAGTAGCGAATGAAGGAAATATTCGTCACGCCAGTGAACTCTACCTATTCCGGCGATTTCAGGTCGGATCCGTGTAGTGGAGAAACAAGTATAGGCTCCCCAAAAGGGTAATATAAATCGATCAGCGCGCATTCAAGAACAAGCCAAGTCAATCAACTTCGATGAATTAGTATAGCCCATGCCTTGAAGCGAAGATTTTCGGACCATACCTACTTTGCACACACTTCGTAGAATAGCCTTCCACAGGGATAATTTAACGAGGGCTTTAGCTGGTGTTATGAAAATGTTTTGAAATTAGTGTGAAAAGGGTTTTGCATTGGACTTTTCGCTGCTTCAGACATGCTAAAAATGTCAAAAAGAGAGAGGTAACGTAACTTATGGGCTCTATCATTAATGTCGTTGAGCACTAATTTCGTTGCTTACGTAATGGAGGAAACAAGGTGAATGTTCCCAACCATGGAATCACTAAAATAATTGAATGTGTACGTAGCCGTGTGCCTCTTTCTCTCATAAGGTTTCTTCATCATGTAATGGTATACATACTCATCCTGAATCAATCTGGACGTGGTTACATATGAAATTTACACTCTTTGAACAGTGGCCGGCGATGGGAACGGAGCCCTATAAAAGTTGGGCTCCTGCTACACATTCCATACAATTCAATTCTTCGGTCCATGTTCGCGAAGTAATCCTCTGCTCTCTACAATCATTAGGTTTCAAATTCTCATACCTACCACCTCGTAGCCTCATACCATTTCTACTGAGCAAAAGCAATGACCCCGTTTTCGCATACTCTCATAGAAAGATCTCACTTGGTCCGTATAGTGCTTAGCACCTCTTGAGCCTTGCTTATGGTAAATGAGCCTCTGGAAGACCCGAATGAACCGATCGAAATGTCCTTTGACTTCGACAGTTGTTGAATCGGACATGCTGGAAAGATGTTGTTAGTTCATTGATTTTTAGTGCTACACCCGTATGACTTCTCGGAAATTTTGAGAAGGTCGTTTTTCGAGTCATAAGCTACAAGCTTTTCTAAAAGTTATAACCTTCGAACCTATGTTGGTAGAAAATCAAAGAGTTGAATAAAGAGGGCAGAAACTCAAGCTTCGGTTCCTTTCTTGGAGCTCGTGGTTCCAAGGCTAGTTAAGTCACATGGCAGTTCACAACCATACATTTCATTATGTTACAACTTCAGATGTATCTACTCGCTCTTCTTCTTTTAACTGCGTCGGTTTCTGCATCTCTGAACGGGGTAAGTTCAAATGTCTTCAGTTACAGCTCGAAATAGATAGCTAACATGATGCAAAGCTACACATCGTGGGAAACTCCTTGCCTATCACTGGTTAGTATGCCGAAGGGAGAATATTCGTTAGAAGTCGTCAAAAAACGCATGCAGACTAGACTTGATGCTATATGACTAGGGTCCGTCGTTTGAGAAGAATACACTACGGCAGGAGAATGCAATTTGAGTGAGATTCATCACCTACCGTCATACGACAAGTTTCTCTAACAATAGTATCCAATATACAGATACCAACCTTGATTGCTTTTTTTCTTCGATTTTTTATTACTAGCTGATCATCGCTTCCCGACTAGAACTACTTTGACATACGTGGCCAAGTTCATCTCTGGCTTAAGGTGAACTATTGTAGAAGTGTGTAAAGAAGCCTTTGCGGAGGAGTAGTGCTCAAATCATCTTATCCTCGGGGGTTGCTGGCTAGCTAGAGTCTATTGGCAGCGTCACCACCCGGATAATTTTCCAAAAACGTATCTCAAGTACCGAAATGCTTTCAGCAACGGGAGAACTCAAAAGGTACCATAACCCTTGCTTTCCTTATGACCCTCGATTTTCCGAAATACCAGCGTGGAAAATGGAAAACCAAGTTTTTATTT